ATATTGTATCCATAATAAATAATAAATAAGAGAAGGGTGAAAGGCTATTGACAGAAACATGGGTCCCTTACCAGTATGGAGCCACTGAAGGAAGCGGGTGAAAGGCTATTGACAGAAACATGGGCTACCAGTATGTAGCCACTGAAGAAAGCGTCTCTCTTCCCTAGCAGCTATTAACTATAAATTACCCATAAATCCCGAGGAAGAGGTGGGGACTCGTGAACACCCTCCTCCATGACAGAATCTTGACAGGCTCAGTTTCACATAGATAATCACAGATGCTGTGGATTCGCAAGAGGGCATTGGCCATGCCCTGCCCAGAAGACTGTTCCACAACATTCCACCTCTTTCTCTGGCTCTTACCCTCTTTCCTCTTCTTCTTGACATCCCTGAGCCTTGGAGGGAGTAATACAGATGTCTCTTAGTGATTGGTCATTCGACAGTCACTTGTATTTAGTCTCTGCAGCGACTGCTGCCCACTTTAAAAGGAAGCTTCCCTGAGCACAGCTGAGAGCAGCGTTAACCTGTGAGCAGAAACAGCTACTTAGAAGGCAGTTCCCCACGCCCAGCATGCCCATTAGAACGAAACAGCAGTATTAGTTCCTATAGTCTTGGGCTGCAATATGTTATATTTTAAACTACATGAGCATAAATTAGAATCACCTGTAATGGGCCCTGCAGGAACAGGGGCACATGATTTCATCAAACACGGACATGCAGCCAGCACACTTGTCAAAACATCTAATGCCCAGTTTTACAAGGTTTACGTGAAGGCCCAGAAATCAGTTACTCTGTATTTTATTTAAATTCCACTATTTGTAGTTCTCAGCAAGAATGTTTGTTCTTAGAGACACTTTCACTTCCAATGACAAGGTTTTAAAGACTGGACTAGGATGTGATCAGCTCTGTTTATAGCAAGGTGTGGGCATCGTGATGACCAGAAACCACCTGCTTCAAAATTTGTTGGGTGTGCCGTCAAGTACATCTGTGCTCACAGTGGGATGTGGGGAGGAGTGGCATCAAGGAATCTTCTAGCCTACTGCCACATGGGTCTATCCAATAAAGGAAATAAAATATCTGAAGCATTTTTGTTAAAATATGCTTGGTGATACTTAGCCACGAACCACAGATGATGTAACCCACAGTAAACTAACTCTTATCAGAGTACTGAGATATTTATGTGCATCCCAGGGCTGCTCTGAGGGTTCCTTGTTCTTACTGGAGTTCATCACCAACTCCACTTGTCTCAAATAGTTTCTATTGCTGTGAAGAGACACCACGACCATGGCAGTTCTTATAAAGGAAAAACATTTAATTGGGGTCGCTTACAGTCTCAGAGGTTTAGTCCATCATCATCATGGTTCAACATGGTGGCATGCAGGCAGACATGGTGCTGGAGAAGGACCCGAGAGTCTTATACCTTGACTGGCAGGCATCAGGAAGTAGTCTGTTCACTAGACATGGCTTGAGCATATATGAGACCTCAAACCCCACCTCCACAGAGACACACTTTTCCTCCAACAATGTCATACTTATTCCACAAAGCCACACCTCCTAATAGTGCCACTCCCTGTGATTTTATGGGGACCAATTACATTCGAATTACCACACGACTTATGCAGGGGCCCTCCATCAGGCCAGGTCACTGGGAGGTGGCTGTTCACCTTCCTGGTCCTGAAAGACACCCAGAAGGTGGAGGAAGGCCTGTGAAGTGGAGATCATGGGAAAGCAGTAAAGGCCATTCCTTGTTTATGGGTTCCTTTTCCGTTTTGGGGGGTGGTGGGGATGAGTGGGTAAGTGTGATATGTGTACTCATGCTAATAGTGATGAATTAACTAGACTTTCATGCTGACCTGCCCTCACCTTGCACTTGCTTTGTATTTTCAGACTGATAATGGACACAGTTCCAGAGATGCCCTCCACTGATGCCCTCTCCAGTGATATAGTTGCAGAAAGATACCTGGTTGAGTCCAAGAAGTCCACAGCCCATGTTCCACTTGCTTGCAGCACACAGTACTGTGCTTTTCCTTTAGATGGGAACCATCTCTGTGTGTGGAGCCCCAGGGACTCCTCTCACCAGGCAGGTCACAAACCAAGGGTGTTCTTGTGAGATCCAGGGTCATAGAGACCTTGCCTTGTCTCTTAATTTCTCCCATACTCTAGAAATGTTAGCAACCATGGAGTCGACTGTGAACTATGACAGAGCGATGTTGAGAAACAATCATTTTGTTAAGTTCTTATTTCTACAATATAAATGGGCTGGAATTAACTTACTTTTCTTTTTTGATTTTCTCAAGACAGGATTTCTCTGTGAGCTCTCCTAGAACTTATTCTGTAGACCAGGTTGGCCTTGAACTCACAGAGATTTGCCTGCCTCTCCCTCCTGAGTGCTAGGATTAAATGTGCCTGCCATCCCTGCCTGATGGAATTGACTTTCTTTAAAAAGTCTTTAACGAGTTCGAGACCAGCCTGGTCTACAAGAGCTAGTTCCAGGACAGGCTCCAAAGCCACAGAGAAACCCTGTCTCGAAAAACCAAAAAAAAAAAAAAAAGTCTTTAACGAATATGAACAAGAAAAAGCTCATCCTAACTCAAGGAAGCCTCCTCCATTCATACTCAGCTTGAGCTTTCTTGCTTTGCAGTGATGAATAAAATGTTTAGGAAAAAAGGGTCACCTGGGAAACCATGGCCAGGCCAGGTCTCTTCTCCTACCAAACGCAACACCATCTTGACTTCTGGCAGCGAGGCACATTTCCCTCATGTTTTAACTTGATGGGAATGGAATTTCTCATTGTACATTCTGCTGTAGCATCTCTTTCCTTCACATGCCTTTAGAAGAGTCCTGAACCTCTTCATATTCACGGCTTACACCAAATAGACCATTTCATCCAGTACTGTTGGTGGAAGTTTGATTTCTTTTATCTGTTTGTTTACTTGTTTCTTGCTGTTTTCTGGGGGCACACATGGAAATGGTTGAGTTACAGGAGATGCACAAACTTAATAGATATTATTCGGGAGTTTCTCAAGTGACTATAAAGCCGTGTCTTTGCTGATGGTCAGGGCCACAGCTGATCACACTTGACCCTTTCATGTTAGCCCTGATGGACATAGGAGTCCCCTATTACACATTCTTTCATGCGTTATGATGCCTACGAGCCAGAGTCTTACTGCATGATGAGTGGCCACTTAGATACACACTTGCTGGAGTGTGTGTCCAGGGCCATCCACACAAGAGATGCTGGATCTCTTGAGTTTTTGTTTGTTTGTTTATTTTTCTGTTAGGTTATCTGTATTTTTCATGTTGGTGTGAAGAAGATATTTATAGATTGTTCAGGATGAACTTCCTTCTTCAGATAGGATTTATGTTTGCTCTGGTAGCTTGCCATGATAAGGGCAGGGGTTTCTTTGCTTCTTGTATTTGGCCTTTTTTGGATTCCTATTCTAAGGCTGGATGTTGGCAGCATGATGCTCCTGTCCTAGTGTGTTGAATTTTAGCAGAAATGTGTTTATCCATCCATATTTTTTTCTTACATCTCCTATGTTAAGGCATTTAACTTGATTTCGGGATTGCTATGTAAGACCAGCAGGACAGAATGAACAGTCTGTCCCTCCTCTTATATGGTATTTTGATATGTTCTTGAAAAGGGTACATTTGATTATATTGTATCTCAGTTCTTAGGTCTTTTAATGTTTAATATCTAAGCTTCTCAACTGTGTTTTATAGAATTTCTGACCATCACTTTTGAGGGAGATTTTCTTTCTTTCTGGGAGTACTAGGAATCAGACCCAGGACCTCATGGATGGTAGGCAAATGCTCTACCTAGACTATAGCCCCCAGCCCTTGGGATGATGTCATTGTGGGACAGGTGCCTACAGGTCCTGTGATCATTTGCTCATGTCTTCAAGAAAAGCCAGGGCTGGAGAGATGGCTCAGAGGGTAAGAGCACTGGCTCTAGAGGTCCTGAGTTCAGTTCCCAGCAACCACATGGTGGCTCACAGCCATCTATGATGAGACCTGGTGCCTTCCTTGCCAGCAGTACATTGTCTACTTAGTAAATAAATCTTTTTTTTTTTTAAAGCCATTAAGTCTTGCATGTCTTCCGGTTTTCTTGTCTTTCTCACCGAGAATCGTGTGCCATTAGACAAACCTGTGTTGCCAGGAGTGGAGTGTTTCTTGTCCTGTCCAATAATACCCCCTATCCCAAATTGCTTATTGTCAACTTCTGTGCACTTGAACTTTCAAAGGACTGAAGCACCCCGACATCCTGGCCCCTCACCCCATCTTCCATTTGTATGCCTTTCCCTTTTCTTTTGACTATCGGGAGTTTGTCCCCTCTCTCTGTCTACAACAGATTTGCTAATTCTCTAGCCTACAAGTTCTCATTGCTAGTGTCTCTTCCTCACTCATACAGACATACATCCCAGTATCCCTCTGCTTGTACTTGAGTACTGGTTTCAGTGTCTTGGCACGTTTGCTGTCCAGTCTCCTTGTATAGTGTCCGCAGCAGTCTCAAGCCACACACCCTACATCCTTATTTGTTGTCGTAGCCAGGAGAGCCTCTGTATCCCTGCTGTCTAATGGTCCAAATGTGCTCATCCCCTGCCAGCTCCTCTCTTCTTAGCTGTCAGTATAGCCAGCACCTCTTCTGCATCCATTGAGTACTCAGTACACATTTGTTAACGCATAGTAAGGGAGAGAAGCATGAGTCCCTGCCTCGTTGTAACAATGCAGGATAACACCCAATAGTGATGTGGTCACTTGATGGAGGAATCAGCATTGCATGTGGGGAGTTTTAATGAATTAAAAGCCAAGTTCAGGTTTGAAATTATATTGTTTCTCTATATATTTTCGATGTTATAATCAACCTATTTGTTTTTTAAGCTCCTCACCTTACAAGGACACGATCAGCTGATTACTGCTATGGTTTTTGGAAATCAAATAGATCCACATCAACTCTGCTCTGCCTCCCAGGATTGTATTATAATGTGGAATGTGGACGAATGCCGAGAGAAGACACTCAAAGGTAAGCAGAGATGGGAAGCACAGCTCAGCAACATTCAGGTGGCGAGGTGCTGGTGACACATCCGCGTGTAGGGAGAGTGCTCACCGCTGTCCTCATCAGACCGCTGTCCCCGTCAGACTGCTGTCCCCATCAGACCGCTGTCCTAGTCAGTCTGTCTTCAGCTCCACACGATCTGGAGTCATCTGAGGGAACCTCAGGTGAGGAAAAGGCCTCTGTAAGATTGGCCTCTAGGCAGACATGAGGGCATTTTCTTGATGGGTGATTGGAATAGAAGGGCCCAGACCGTAGTTGGTGGTGTGGTCCCAGGCAGGTGGTCTGGGGGTATTAAAAAAACTGCTCAAGCCATGAGAAACAAGTCAGTAATGAGTGTTCCATCATGGATTCTGCATCAGTTCCTATCTTGAGTTCCTGCCCTGACTTTCCTGGACAATGAACTGTAAGGTGTAAGATGAAATAAACCTTTCATCCCTGTTCTTTTGGCCATCATATTTTATCATGGCAACAGAAGTCCTAATTAAGACACCTTCCATGGAGGAGACCATGGTTTAATCCTAGCACCATGCAGGGAGTGAATCGTTTCTATAAGTACACTTGTAAGGTCAGGAGTAGGGCCTTTTACAGTCCCTTCAGCGCTACAGGTATCTAAATAAATGTACCTTGACACCAACCCTGGTGACCTTTGCTGTGTGAGATACAAATGCAGAGGCTTGTTGGTATTGATATTTAGACCTCCAAGCATCCGTGGGCAGTTTGGCGTGTCTTACCTCATTCCTGTGTAGATAACCTCAGTGCTTGCTGTGTTTCATGTTGCAAACACAGTGGCGAAGGGGCAAGGCTTGCTCTCTGCAGGGACATTTCCCACTTAGGACAGCATGCTTGCACATAGGTGACTTCTGCAGAACTGTGACTGCAGCTGAAGAGGAGAGACTCAGCTGGGGCTGGGGTAGACACGGAAGGACATGGCTGCAGGGACTGGGTGCGAAGGGCCTGGCCAGCAGGGACTGAGGAAGTGTGTGTGACAAGAGCTTTCCTAGCTGAGGCTGATGGCTCAGGTGGGCCCATGTCCCAGATGTGTGTTTATCAGGTTGTGTTTAAAGATGCCAGGTAACATCCCAGATGTGTGTTTATCAGGTTGTGTTTAGAGATGCCGGGTAACCACAGAATTGTGAAACTGTGTGTGCCTCAGTGCTGTGAGCGAAGTGAGCCAGAACATAGCCAGACAGGTTTGTATGTTTGCACAATTTAACAAATTTTTTTAGTAATAACAAATTCACAAGTCATGGCAGCTTCAATGGCAGCAATTTCCAGAAAATCCCTTCTACCCTGTAATCTAATAGAATGTTGAAATAGGAGCTGCAGGGCTGCGTCCCCGGCACCCGGCCGCCCGCATGGCTAGCTTATACCCAGAAATAATTACACGGAAACTGTATTCTTTCAAACACTGCCTGGCCCGGATAGTTCCAGTTCCTTATGGCTAGCTCTTACATATTGTTCTAACCCATTTCTAATATTCTGTGTAGCCCACGAGCTGGCTTACCAGGGAGGATCTTAACCTGCGTCTGTCTGGA